GCCCGACCATCGTCTCCCAAAGCAGTTGCTCTACTCCGAATTCAAGAACAGAAAATGGAATGTTGGTGGACAGAAAAAGAGATTTAAAGATGGGATCAAAGCCAACCTTTAAAACTCCGGCATAGACACTGAGAACTGGGAAGCCCTGGCCCTTGACCGCTCCAACTGGAGGTCAGCTGTGACCAGCAGTGCTGCAGAATTTGAAGAGGCATGAATGGAGGGCAAAAGAGAGAAATGTGCTAAGAGGAAGGCGTGCCAAGCCAACCCTGACCGAGACCGCCTTCCACCTGGAAACCAATGCCCTCACTGCGGAAGAAGATGCAGATCAAGAATAGGGCTCCACAGCCACATATGGACCCACAAGAATACTGGAAGACAATCCTCCTCAGAAAACGAGGGATCGCCTAAGTATCTCTCTGACCTGAAAGCAGGAGACATGGATTTTGATGAGTGTGTATTTGCACTTTTCTGAAATAATGTATGGATCTGATCATAACCCATTATATATTTTGAATTTTATCATGCAATTCTCAGCCTCCCTCTAAAATCCCTAAACCAAAAGAACAGTGACAACAACAAATCCTCTTGTATGCAAAATGTGTAATTAAGTGCACATAAAATGTGTTATTTTACTTATTATTTAAATATAGTTTTTCATGTAAGTATTTTACAAACCCCTGGCTGAAGCCAAAACTGGAGTGGAATGGATTAATGAATGGACACAGGAAAATATGTCACTACAGTGAGCCATCTTTCCTTAATTACAGGTATGAGGCTTTTTCAGTGAAAGTACCAGCAAGTTTCCCAAGAGAATGAATGGTTCTTGATTAGGTACCAAGGCTGCAGAAGCAGGCCAATTTGATAATTAAAAATATAAAAGAGGGGAAGGATGAGGTCTGCTGTATGATCTTCTCAAAGATAGCTCAGCAGCACAACACTTGACTATCCAGCCATTGCACTTCAACAAAATCTAAACCATGGATAAAGATCTGAACATGTAATATAAATTGCTCCAATATAATAAAATACATCCTAGAATTCATTATATGTCATTAATATAAAAGCTGAGTTGCCAAATACATTACATTTATTATATGCAGAGCTAGTCTTTGTTCAAGAGAGAGAAAAATACCTTTGAACAATTTAATTTCACTGTTATTAAAGATTTAAACATTTCCATGCAGCAATCAGAGTGGCTTGTTCCAGAAAAACAAGAAATAGTTGCCTTACAAAAGAGCAAGTTTTCATTAGATTTCAGTTTTCTTGGACTTCAGCTCATTTCATCAAATGCAACTGATGCATCTGTTGAAGTGGAGCAGCTAATGGAGCAGTATAATCAGTTTGTTGTTGTTTATTCATTCAGTCACTTCCGACTCTTTGTGACTTCATGGACCAGCCCACGCCAGAGCTCCCTGTCGGCCATCACCACCCCCAGCTCCTTAAAGGTCAAGCCAGTCACTTCAAGGATACCATCCATCTATCTTGCGCTTGGTCGGCCCCTCCTACTTTTTTCTTCCATTTCCCCCAGCATAATAGACTTCTCTAAGCTTTCCTGTCTCCTCATTATGTGGACAAAGTACTTCATGTTTGCCTCTAATATCCTTCCCTCCAATGAGCAGTTGGGCTTTATTTCCTGAAGTATGGACTGGTTGGATCTTCTCGCGGTCCAAGGCACTCTCAGAACTTTCCTCCAGCACCACGATTCAAAAGCATCTATCTTCCTTTGCTCAGCCTTCCCTATGGTCCAGCTCTCACATCCGTAGGTTACTACAGGGAATACCATGGCTTTTACTATGCAGATCTTCGTTGCCAGTGTGATGTCTCTACTCTTCACTATTTATCAAGATTGGTCATTGCTCTCCTCCCAAGAAGTAAATGTCTTCTAATTTCCTGGCTTCAGTCTGCATCTGCAGTAATCTTTGCACGTAGAAATACAAAGTCTGTCACTGCCTCCACATGTTCTCCCTCTATTTGCCAGTTATTAATCATTCTTGTTGCCATAATCTTGGGGTTTTTTTTATGTTTAACTGTAACCCAGCTTTTGCACTTTATTCTTTCTCCTTGATTAGAAGGCTCCTCAGTTCCTCCTCGCTTTCGGCCATCAAAGTGGTATCATCTGCATATCTAAGGTTGTTAATGTTTCTTCCAGCAATTTTAACCACAGCCTTGCATTCCTCGAGCCTCGCACATTGCATGATGTGTTCTGCATACAAGTTGAATAGGTTGGGTGAGAGTATACAAGCCTGCTGTATGTCTTTCCCAATCTTGAACCAGTCTGTTGTTCCATGGTCAGTTCTTACTGTTGCCACTTGGTAATTATACAGATTCCTCAGGAGAGAAGGAGATTTGGTAGGTCCATACCACCAAGAACTTGCCACAATTTATTATTATACACACAGTCAAAGGCTTTAGAATAGTCAATAAAACAGAAATAGATGTTTTTTTCTGAAACTCCCTGCCTTTCTCCATTATCCAGTGGATATTGGCAATTTGGTCTCTCGTTCCTCTGCCTTTTCTAAACCCAGCTTGTACATCTGGCAACTCTCTCTCCATGTATTGCTGGAGTCTTCCTTGCAGGATCTTGAGCACTACCTTACTGGCATGAGAAATTAGTGCCACTGTATGAAAGTTTGAGCATTCTTTAGCATTTCCCGATAATCAGTAGAGCAGTATAATTTCTCCAGAATTTGAACTAGACTCAAGAGAAGAGTCCTTCCAGGCTGTTGGATGGTGGTTTGTTAAATTGCCCAGCTTCTGAAGAATCTCTTTCAAAGTACCTCCTATCTGAACTACCTTCCACAGTTCAGAGTATAAATTTAAAATGAAACAATGACTTTTCAGTCATATATAACCTCCACAGAAGAAATGGAGCCAATAGATGAGCTAGACTGCTTAACCTTCATAAGGCTTCAGGTATCTCCCACACTATGCTGATTCAAAAGCTTTCTTGCAGACGAACACTTCATTTCCACCCCCATGATCTGTCCAAGGCACTGTGCCAAACTCTGGTCTACATGTATTGACCTTACTGAATGCCAAAGGCTGTATGAAGTCAATGTGACTCTCCAGAAATTATTGGATTACAAATCTCATCATCCCTAGTCAGTATAGCCAATAGTGAGTGATGATAGGATTTACTATCCTGCAATATCAGCTGGGCCATACAGTCTCCATCTTCGTTATATGCGGTTCTGTTTTACCTGCCTTGGTCTACCCTTCACTCATATGACTGTTACTTGTGTTCATGCTGCTACCAATAATATCTGTCATTGCAGTCTACTTCCCTTAGAGTACAGAGCCATGCCAAAACAATACAGGTTATTGACAGACTTGAAAGTCAACATGCTGTCTACATCTAATATGGCAGAACCTGTGGGGCTGAGTATAACCAATAACTCAGACACAAAGGGCAAGTGCACTCCAATAGCACAACTTACCTAAGAAGAAGTTAAATGCTGAAGCAACTTGAGAGCAGAGGTCAAAGCAAGACCAGAACAACATTTGTATTACCATGGACAGTTCCCAAGGTGCAGCCAGATTGTTCTGAACTACTATCCCAAGTTAGCTCTTTGCATTACCAGACATGGATGTTAATGACTGAGAAAATGTATCTTTGTACACAAATCAGTTGTTCTCCAGCCATGTTCATCATCATTTCAATTATTTTAAAACTTGCTTCTATTTTTGCCTTTATTGCTAACCTGCCAAGAGAGAGCCTGTCTCTGGGAATTTTGAAAGCTTGGTATAGATCTGAAAAGACAGGATAACCTTTGAGTATATTTGCTGCTAGACCTCAAAAGGCCAATGTCTGGTACTCTGCACGCAGGCACTGAAGAGAACAATTAGCCAATATAGTGCAATAGCTACTTGCTTTTCCAGTAGTAGCTGCAGGGTGGCTTTTTTAACAGAATGTGGTGTGAGTAGGTGTATTTGAAGTTTAAAGCATATTTAGACCATAATCTATTGTCCAGACACTAGGAAAGTTTAAAAGCTATTGTAAGTTCATTCACTTGTGTTTGTTAACTAGTTTTACATACTTAAGTGATTCTTATTTATATATTTATTTGGCATAAAAATGGCAACATTTGCCATATCAGGTCTTATTTTATTTATTTTTTGGTAAAATAATGTTAAATCCATCACCTTCTTTCTCTCATGCCCATCTTATTGTTCAATAAAGCTTTATTAGCTTATTAGCAGAGAGAGGGCTAGGACTGGACACACTAATTCAGCTTCAAAATTTAAACATGCATCAGCTCCATTTTCACATTCTACCATTGAAGAAGAAGCTATGAAGAGGGCTTCTCCATGCTTTGAATATCCCTCAAGAGTCCATAACTACAGTGAAGAGCATTAGTACAATTAGCCACTATGGAAAATCCTACTTAAAGCACCTGTTTGGGGTGCATTTGTTACATTCAGAAAAAAATCTGTATTATTTTCAATTTGGAACAGTTATGTTTTATTTTAAAATTTGTATATTTATCAAAGAACCATAAAATCTACACACATATATATTAGGGACTTGCAAAATTATCATTAGTCCTCATAAGTTGGAATAAATTAGTTAAATTTGTACTTATGACAAGATATCTGACACATGGGAATGGCCTGTGCCAAAAACTTAAGAATCAAAATTTGCCCAATACTTTTTGTTTGAATTTTTTAAAGCTCAAAGCTTCCCAAAGTCAGTTTCATTTGCAGCACAAGCAAAGAAAGAAAACCTAAAGGCTGCCTGTCCTCTTTAAATTAATGCCTCTCAGCATTATGAGAGGGAAGTAGCAGGGAGAAAGAGTTAGCTGGGAAAGAGACTGAGAAAGCACAGAATTCTGGGAAGTGTAGTTTGTGGAGCCCTATGCCTGACAATTCAAAAAACCCTGCTCTAAACCACATTTCCCAGAATTCTGCTCAGCATAAAGGAGCAAGGAAGGAAGAAAAGAAGGAAGGAGGGAAGTGGCTCTGGCTTGTCAGGCTCCACAAAGGCGAGGGTCTCTGTCACCATGGTGCTGCTGAAGCCGCTGAGCATGGCACAGCTGAAGCATCTGGAGAAGCATTGCTACACTGCCTCAGGGCGCTCGCTGCTGGAGCTTCTCTTGCAGTGCCACTGGACCTGGCTGATGGAGCACACCCTGCTCTGGCTGGCCCCTAATGCCATCACCCTTGGCAGCCTGGCCCTCAATCTCCTTCCCATGCTGGCCCTCCTTGCTGCCTGCCCCAGCACCACTGAGCAGGCGCATTCTTGGTTGTTCCTTTCATGTGCATTAGGACTCTTTATTTATTAGACATTGGATGCTATTGATGGGAAGCAAGCCAGAAGAACAAATGGTAGCTTTCCTTTGGGAGAACTCTTTGACCATGGCTATGACTCAAGTTCCACAGTTTGTTGGTATCGGAGCCTGCATAGCACTTCACTTTGGAACAAATCCAGACTGGCTGATTTTCTATTCCTTTGTTGGGCTGTTCCTGTTTTATTGTGCTCATTGGCAAACCTGTGTATCAGGCATGTTGAAATTTGGCAAACTTCGTGTCATAATGATTCTCTTTTTGTTATCTGCATTAGATGGAACAACAATGTGGGATGCAAAGATTCCTATGTTAGACCTGAGGCTGAAAATGTTTCCTGAAGCTGGGATAGTGTGTGGAAGGAGTGAGGGGAATGAGTGAGGATGGGACTAAGGAAGGAAGGGGAGAGAGAAGCAAGCAAGCAAGAAGGGCTGGAGGGAGGGAGGGAGGGAGGGAAGGAAGGAAGTAGGAGAGGACGGAAAGAAAATAGGGAGGGTAGGAAGGAAAGAAAGTAAGAAGGAGGTAGGGAGGGAAGTGGGCTGCACCTCACCCAGGCTTCCGGGGCTCCATCTCCAGCGTTTTACAGAGGAAGTGTGCCGTGAGTTCAGGTAGGATGAGGCAGGCTCTGTGCAAAGGGCTCGTCTTCATCTACCTTCATTTTTTCTTTGCTCCTCCTTCCTGCTCTTCCTGCCTTCCCTGGCACACTGTGAGTTCAGGCAGGAAGAGGCAGGCTCCATGCAAAGGACTCCTCCTCTTCTTCCTTTTTTTCTCTGCTCCTCCTTCCTGCTCTTTCCCCTTCCTGACTTTCCTGGTGCGGAGCTGCTGTCGGCTTTGCTCTAAAGTCCGCTATGGTAAACCAGGATACTTTTTGCTTTGAAACACAGGTTGCATCTTATCATAAAACTGAACTGCCTTGGCTCAGTGTGATGTCATCCTGGGAGTTGTATTTTAAAAGGTCTTTGCTTTGTAGACCATATTTTAGTTCTCAGGGGCCACTAGTGGTCCATGGACCACAGGTTGGGAACCATTGATCTAGTGCTTTAAAGGTCATAACTAGCACTTTGAATACAAGACCACCTCATGTGGTAGAAAGTTCCTTCTTGTTTCTTTCACTTCCAACACTTATTGCTTCTCTCCTTATACAATTTAACAAGTTATGCTGGTGTCAGGTACCACTGTTCATCATTTTATTAAAAAAATATCTAAGGCTATAGCACATAATTTTCTTTAAGGCTATAAGACATTTCCCCCCATTTATCTAATTCTATGTTGTGTCTGACATTTTGTGCCCATTTAATCAGATATCCCTTTATCTTTCTAAATCTATTTCCATCTTCAGTAATCCTTTATATATTTTTCCAATAAGATGTGCTTCGTTAGTTAATCAGAAGTCTTTTAAAAACTTAAGCTCAGTCCCATTTCGTCCATATTTTTCCCTAACACTAGTCACCTAGATATAACAACACTGCTGTCTAATAGGCCTGGGCGGTTTCGTTCGTTAATTTTGTAATTCATTAAATATTCGTTATATTTAACAATTACAAAATGATTACAAAACATATTTTCAAACCCGGAAGGGTTTTTCAATAACGAAACGGCATCCTCCATCCTTTTTACGAGCTTCCGCCCGTTTCGGAAATGACGTTTTAGGGATGGAGGATGCTGGGTGCGCCGGGAGCCAATCCAGCGCTCCCAAGCACCGTGGCTCATTGTGATTGGGCGGGCTGCCCTTTAAAAGCGGCTCCGCGTGGCCGCATTGCTCATTGCTGGGGAAGGCGAGGAGACGGGAGGTTCGGGAGGGAGGCTTGGCTTGCTTGCATTCATTCATTGCTTGCATTCATTCCCTGGGCTGGGAGCAGCGGGGAGGCTTTGCCCTGTTTTCGCCCTACATTTTTAAATATTTCTGAAAAATATTTCTTTTATTCTTCAAAAAATTCAAAAAATATTCTAAAAAAAGAAAAGAAACTTGTGTGCCTGTGTGTGCATTTGTCCCTGTCCTGTGGCTGTGTTCGCTCCACAACAGGGCAAGCCTTTTGTTAATTTTCCATTTTTAAATATTTCTGAAAATATATTTCTTTTATTCTTCAAAAAATTCAAAAAATATTCTAAAAAAGAAAAAAACTTGTGTGCCTGTGTGTGCGTTTGTCCCTGTCCTGTGGCTGTGTTCGCTCCACAACAGGGCAAGCATTTTGTTATATTTACTTGGGATATGTGGATGTGTGCCTGAATATAGACTTGATAGGCCCAAATTGGATCACTGGCGGGGTTTGGGAGGAAGTGCCCTTCCTTTCTGGGAGTTGTAGTTCACCCACATACCATATTTACTTTCTAAGTTTTTATAATAACATTATTTTTTATATATTAATAATTTATAATTTAATTTTATATATTATTTTTATTATTATTTATAATTATATTTTATAAACATTTTGTAAATTTAATTATATTTTATTTAAATATTTATATTATTATTTATTTCATTTATATAATATATATAATAATATATTATTATATTATATTATTTTATTTTATATTGTATATATTATATAATTTTATATTATTTATTATTATTATTATTTATATAAATTATTATTATTTATTATTATTTATATTTTATTTATTTAAATTTTATTATTATATTATTGTTTTTTTCATTATTGACTCAGTTTTGGCTACTTTATCTTATTACTTTTTTATTTAATATCTTTATCTTAATATCTTGTTCTATTTGATTATTTTTTTGATTTATTTTATGAAATGATTTTGTTTATAGAGCATTTAGCATTGCGCAATCGCGTCCGCCATTTTAACGAATCGATTCGTTATTATTTTAATAACGAATCGATTCGTATTTAATAACGAAGTTCGGAAGTCGTTTTTGCGCATGCGCAAATCGCGTCCGCCATTTTAACGAATCGATTCGTTATTACCTTAACGAATCGACCCCGCATCAATAACGAAGTTTCGGAAGTGATTTGCGCATGCGCGGGGGGTCCGCCATCTTAACGAATTGATTCGTTAATAATAACGAAATTTCGTAAATACCGAACATTTTTAAAGGAAAATTTTGTAATTCTTTTAAATAACGAAATGCAAAAACCCCCCAAAAACGAATCGATTTTAGAAACAAATTTTTGCGTTGTTACCCAGGCCTACTGTCTAAAGTTAAAGCAATCTACTTTTTTTAAAGTGGTCATTAATCTTTAATCAGTGGCCTTTTGTTTTATATATTATTTCCTCACATTACATAAATGAAAATCACTATTCACTTCTGGCAAAAGGCAATAATTTCTATAAGGAGCTTGACTGATTAAACAAGTTAAGTAGGGTTTCAGGATCAAATATATGCCTGGTGCATATGTTTCAGTCGCCTTTTCTTCTAAAGTTTGGGGTTCAGTCCTTATGTTCGCTTGGTATTCAGAGTGTAGCTTTGGACTGCAACTTCCAACATTGACTATATTGACCAGGGCTAATAGAATCTCTAGACCAGCAACATCTGGAAAGTTGGCCATTTCCTCAGCCTCATTCTGAACACAGTGAGAATAGAGCAGGGCCATTGGTATTAGCACTGCTCTTTTTTCGCCCATCTACACAGATGTAAAGAACAAAGGTTCTCTCGAGAGACCTGAGTTGTCCCTCAGCAGTCTTGGCTACTATGCATTTCAATATTCGTAAGTGTCTAGTTTTTGTAGGTTGTTACCACCTTCAAAGGTGGGCAATGTGATGATCAGCACAACTTATATATTTCTTTAACACATCCCCATCTGTCTCCTAGCACATGAACCAATATGATCTCCCACCATTTTAAACAAAACCCAATTAAATTCTTAGTTTACAGAGGTTAAAAATCAATTAGACAAAGAATGATATTAAATGGGCACAGAGGTGAAACAATTTAAAGCAACACAATTTAAAAGACAAGAGGACATGGAAAATACATGATTTAAGAGACAAAGTCTTCTTACCAAAAAAGAGTGTAGAGATGGTGCCAAATGAATCTTCCATGGGAAGATTTGGGAACAGCCACTGAGAAGGCTCTCTGTCATGCCTCCCTCAATATGCCTCCTTCCCAGAATCCCAGAATGGCTTCCGCCCCTCCAGAGGAACTGTGGACATGATCTTCACTGCATGTCAGCTCCAAGAAAAATGCAGGGAACAAAATCAACCTCTGTACATGGCATTCATTGACCTTGCAAAGGCATTCGACACAGTGAATCGCAGCGCTCTCTGGACCATCCTCCAAAAAATTGGGTGCCCAAACAAATTTGTAAACATCCTGAGGCTCCTCCATGATGACATGATGGCAACAGGTTTGGACAGCAATGGCTCCCAAAGTGACCCATTTAAGGTGGAATCTGGTGTCAAACAGGGATGTGTTATTGCCCCAACTTTATTCTCCATCTTCATTGCTATGATACTTCACCTTGTTGATGGGAAGCTTCCCAGCGGAGTGGAAATCATCTATCGGACAGATGGCAAGCTGTTTAACATCAGCAGACTGAAAGCCAAAACCAAGGTTACAACAACATCAGTTATAGAACTCCAGTATGCTGATGATAACGTCATCTGTGTGCATTCAGAAGAAGATCTACAAGCCACTCTAAACACCTTCGCAGAAGCATACCAGAAGCTCGGCCTGTCATTGAACATTGAGAAAACCAAAGTGCTGTTCCAGCAGACACCAGCCAACCCCTCTCCAATGCTAGCGATACAGCATTAGAAAATGTTGATAATTTTCGCTACCTTGGCAGTCATCTCTCCACCAAAGTCAACATCGACACTGAAATAAACACCGCCTGAGCTCTGTGAGTGCAGCATTTTTCCGAATGAAGCAGAGTGTGTTTGAGACATCCGTAGGGATACCAAGGTGTTTGTCTATAAAGCTATTGTCCTCCAAACCCTGCTATATGCCTGCGAAACGTGGACTGTCTACAGGCGTCACATGCAACTCCTGGAATGATTCCATCTGCGCTGCCTCTGGAAAATCCTGCAAATCTCTTGGGAAGACAGGCGGACAAACGTCAGTGTGCTGGAAGAAGCAAAGACCACCAGCATCGAAACAATGGTCCACTGCCATCAACTCTGCTGGATTGGCCACATTGTCCAGATGCCTGACCACTGTCTCCCAAAGCAGTTGCTCTACTCCAAACTCAAGAATGGAAAATGGAATCTTTGTGGACAGGAAAAGAGATTTAAAGATGGGCTCAGAGGCAACCTTAAAAACTCTGGCATAGACACTGAGAACTGGGAAGCCCTGGCCCTTGAGCGCTCCAGCTGTAGGTCAGCTGTGACCAGCAGTGCTGCAGAATTTGAAGAGGCACGAATGGCGGGTGAAACAGAGAAACGTGCCAAGAGGGAGGTGCGTCAAGCCAACCCCAACT